AAAAAAAAAAAAAAAGCTGAAGCCACTTCAGCATGAGTTCAATCCCTGCCCCGGAGGTGACCCACATGGCCCGCCTGCTGCTCCCCTCAGCACTGTACTTCGTCGATCTGCCTGTTCTGCTCCCCGCTCTGTCTGGTGAGGCCTCTCACCGCCCCTGAACCTCTGGCCTGTACCCCAGCTCTGTATGCATAAATAAATCAATCTTTAAAAACAAACAAAAAAGGGCTGTCCCTGGTGGCGCAACAGCATTGCAAGCTAGCTGCAACCGCTACAGTGCGAGTTGGATCATTCACCATTTTTCTTCAGTGATGGGCTTACTCCATTCAGCATAATGTCACCCAGGTTCATCCTTGTAATGGCGTGAGTCAGAATATCCTTCCTTTTTAAGGCTGAAGAATATCCTGTTATATAAATATATTGCTCTTTGTTCATTCATCATCTGTCAATAGACATCTTCTCCAGACACCCTGTTTTCACTTTTTTCTTTTGAAAGATTTATGTTATTTATACACATCAGAACAGAGGTACAGGCCAGAGGTGTGGGAAGTGAGAGGACTCCCCAGAGACAGAGTGGGGAGCAGAACAGGCAGATGCACTGAAACACACTGCTGAGGGGAACAGCAGGAGGCAGGAGAGGTCTGCTGGGCCCTGGGGGTCACTCCCTGCCGGGATCAAACTCATGCTGCAGCGGATACAGCAGCTTGATAGCCCTGGGTCTTTAACCCCTGGCCACCAGGGAGGCCCCTGGGGGCCTCATTCTTGATATACCCCTTTGAAGTACAAACGTTTTTCATTTTAATGAAATCCAGTTTGTCTATATTATCTGCTACTAATGATTTTGGCACACTAACAAACCATTGCTTAAGCTAAAGTCAAAGTCTTAGTCCTACATTTTATTTCTTATTGTTATTCCTATTTTTTCTGGCATATATTTCTTTTCTCTTCTTTCTTTCTTTTTTTTTTTTTTTAACAAACATGCATTACTTTGGTAACTTAAATCGCCACACTTTTTAAGGGACTAAAAACGGAACAAGTACCTTCCCTGGAGGCGCAAAGGGTTAAATCTCATTACTGTGAAGCTGTCCACAGCCACTGCAGCAGTTCAATTCCCTGCCACGGAGGTGACCCATATGGGGCAGCAAACCTCTCCTGTCTCCCCGCTGCTCCCCTCAGCAGTGGGAACGATGGGCCTGTTTTGTTACCACTCTATCTGATGAATCCGTCTCACTGCCCTCCCCACCTCTGGCCTGTACCCCAGTTCTTGTATGCATAAATAAATAAATAAAAACGGAACAAGCAAAATGGCACATGGTTAAAGACCACATGTCTAGCGATCAGAATTGCAAGAGGGTTTTGCCAAGAGAGGGTTCCTCAGGAGAGTAGCGTCTACACTGAGCGCAGAGTGAAGGAGTGTCCCGAACTTAGACTGCAGCAAGAAGCGTGCTTTGAGACTATGGGAGGGAGAGAAGCTCGTTACAGAGAGGCAATCAGCTTCAAGCCTTCTCAGATGCAGCGGGGAGGAGGTGCAGAGCAAGGGGAGGAGGCAGGCTAGGAACTGGGAGGCGGGGCAGATCAGCCTTGTGGTCTGTGGTGAGGGGTGTGAGCAGAGGGGTGCTCTGGTCACACGTAAGTTGGAACAGTGACTCTGGAAACCTGGGGGGAGGAGGGAAAGGAGCGGGGTGTGCCGCGGGGGGCCGCTGCAGAAATGCAGAGGCTGATGGTGGGCCCAGTCGGGAACTACACGGGGAGAAGGGGCTGGTGCGGGAGATCCTAGTCGCCAGCCGACTGGACCGAGAAGGTCGCGGGGGCCCCAGATCGCCTCCGGATGTCGCAGTCGACGGCCCTTCTCTAGCTGGACCAGTGGCAGCGCTCTAGGGGGGCGGCGACAGGCGCTGGGGGGAGCGAGCGCCGCACCTGCGGGGACCGGAGGAGGAGCCAGCCCCGGGGGCCAACCAGGCTCTCGAGACGCGGGTGAAAGGGCGGCGGAGTCAGTCCCGCCCTTAACCTCCACCTGGGCGCCGGGCAGGGACTGCACCCCGAGTCCCCCGAGCGGGCTCCCAGACGCCGGGGGGAGCCCGCGAGCGGGGCCCTCACACCCAGGGGCACATCCCGCTCAGGCGCCCACTAGCCGGGAGAAGGGCGGACGCGGAACCCCGGAACCTTCAATCCCCGCCACCCGGGTTCGCCGCAGGAACAGTTGGGGGACCCGTTCGCGGTTGCTAAGGGGCGGCCCCGGAAGTGACGCGCCGGGTTTGTTGACAGCGGAGGCGGCTTGCGGCTTGCGGCTTCGAGCCTTAGGAGCAGGATCGGGGGAGGGGCCGGGCCCCGGAGTCAGCACCCCGCGGCCCTCAGCCCCGCCCGCAGCCCTAAGGGCAAGGTAACGGCCACCGGGCCCCCGGCGCGACCCCTTCCCACCAGAGGCTCCAGCTCCCGGGATCCCAAGCTCCGCCCCGCCGCCCCCAGTCTCCCCCAGACCCCGGCCCGAGCCTAACGAGATCCCCCGCCTCCACGGCGCTCCGACCCCCGATTTCCCAGGCCGCATCCTCCGCTCCGGGCCGAGCAAGCACCCCATCTGCTCCCGGGGCCAAAGAATGTTGCGTCTTTCTCCCTGTTCCTGCTCGCAAGTGCACCGGTTGCAGCCACTTACACAGATCCAGCTCGGCCCGGGGTGGGAGGGCTCCCTTCTCTACCCCTGCTGAGAAACGGAGCTCCCTTCCTCCAGAGAGAAAATGACGCCCTATTGGACGCCCCTACAAAATGGGGGATCGCAGTAGGACTGAAAGAGACAGCCTCTGCCCCTCCTACCTGTTGGATGAGCGCGAGCTCCCCCAAAGCCGTGCGCTTAAGCACTCAATGCCGGCTTGAATTCTGGATAACTCTCAAAGGGATGTCAGGTGGAAAAGGGATGGGGTGCGCTTGAAACTTGGGGGGCAGGGGAGCCCCATAGGTGAGTTGAAAGTATACTGTTCTGGCCCTGGCCCTCTATCTCTGTGGGGGGAACATGATCTGGTTGCTTTTTTGCCCATTGAGTTCAAGATTCCCCGCCTTTACCTGTGCCTTTCCGTGCCTTTGGACTTTAAAAAGGAGGTGACGGTAGATTCCGGGGGAAAATCAGCCCGTGGTATTTCCCACAGAATGTTTTTCTTCACGGTTCAAAATGATTAGAAAGAACATTGAAGGCAGCATTGAAAAGAGTCACTTTTGAGCAGGAGGTGGTGTCAAGGATAAGGGACTCTCTGTTTCTCTTCATTTGTTCATTCATACGGCAAACAATAAGCATATAATATGTGGGGTGCTAATAAGCGACATGAAGAAGCATAAAGCAGGAAGGGCCATGGAAAGGCCCAGAGAATGGGAGCCCCTTTTCGTAAAGGGTGGTCAGAGCAAGTTGAAGCAGAGGTCTGAAGGGAGCAAGGGAGCCAGTCTGAGGAGCTTTGGAGCTGGGTATTCAACAGCAGACGCGAAGGTCCCGAGAATGGTGGTTGTGTTTTTCAAATTTATTTATTTGTGCATACAGAACCAGGGTGCAGGCCAGAGGTGAGAGGACTCACCAGAGACAGAGCGGGGAACAGAACAGGCAGATGGACGAAGTCCCCTGCTGAGGGGAGCAGCGGGCGGACCAGGAGAGGTCTGGTGCGCCGTGTGGGTCACCTCCGGGTGGGGATCGAACACGCACTGAAGTGGCTGTGGTTAGCTGCGCCACCACAGAGGGTACCCAGAGAGGTTTTAAGAAACCACAGAACTGCGCTTTACCCCACTGCGCCACCACAGAGGGCCCCCAGAATGGTTTTAAGAAACCACAGGATGGCAAGAGTGAATCATCGGAAGGGCGGTGGGTGGGGGTGGCAAAGGAGAATAGAGCCCAGATCGTGGTGGGGGCTCTCGGGCTGTCCACGTGACACGGGGTCATGACATGCTAGCGGGCGCTCTTGCTCAGTTGACGTATCTGGTGGCTGGAGAAAACCCAGATTTGCTTTAGATGCCAGCCAGCCCTGGTGCTTGGCCTGGTGGTGCCAGTACTCTTTCCGTCTCTGTAATGACCATTGCTGCCATAAATACAGAAATGATGGCCGTTCAGTCAGGTCGTGCTGCTGCTTCCTGGTTGGGAGAACCTGGGCAAGGCCCCTTTGCCCAGCTGTTGCCCTCTGTGTACGTGGGGTGTCGAGAGACCCCACCCTGGAGTGCCCAGGGCTCAGTGTGCACGCATCCAGTGCTCGGGGCCTGCCGGCGTGATGACAGTGACAGTGGGGACCTGTGTGCACGTGTCTTCCTCTAGACTTTTGGCACTAGCTGGTGGTGTCACTGGCTCTGGCTTCAGAATTTTGAGGGGCGGTGAAGGAGACGAGGCATTGCTGTCAGCCCTCGGTGGTAACAGTGATGGCTTATCCTACTGGAAGATGGCAGCTTGGTTGTGACTTTTTTGGTGCTAGTGATGGGGCCTTTTGAAAAGCTCCCAGCAGATCCCCATTGTGCCACACTTTTTGCAGAACGGGAGTGTTGAATGAAATAAAGATGACGGAGACCTGTCAGGAGCGCAAGGTAGGGCAGCCCTAGCCATGTGGTTGAGGTGTGCATGGCTCATCTGCTTGCGGATACAGTTGATTCTAGAAGTGTCCAGCAGAGGCAGAAATTTTACAGCCTGCCTTACAGGAAGCAGAGAGAGGTTCGTCTTCTTCCTCACGCCCAAGCCTGGAATGTGTCATCCAGCTGGGCCATAAGCTGAGCATAAAGGTTTAGGTGCTGAGAGGCAGCCTGTCAGAGCAGGCTGTTGTGTCTAGACCTTGGACTGGCCACCTGGGGCCTGGGTCCAAGTCCCGGCTCTGCTGCTGCCCACTTTGTCAACATGGGCATGTCCTGCTTCCTCCCCGAGCTCTACACCAACTCTGAAGACAGTCGGGAGACTGGGGAGAGACAGGCTGTGTGTGCATTCCACGTGCTCCAGCTCCCTGCCCAGGTGCTCTCGTTGACACCACCAGAATTCTGCAGACAAATCTTGGGGCCCCACTAGGCAGGAGCTTCCGTATCTTTGCTGTTCTTGACTCCTGAGATGTGCATTCAGAGACTCCAGTTGGTCACCAGTTTGGAGACCAGTGTCCTGTGTCTGGCTCAGTGGCTGAAGATCATTTCTGGCCTGGGAGCCGAGCACAAGGGTTTCTCAGAGCATTGTCCTTAGCGGCCCCTCTGGCGCTGCTGGGTAGCACCTCCTGCCACCATTCCATGTCATCTCAGCAACTCCATGAGGCCAGTGCCTGGTGCACCACCTTGGCAAGTAAGGACCCGGGTCAGCACTGAGGCTGGGGTCCCCTGGAGCAGGGGCTGCTTCCCCCGCAGCAGCCAGGCACACATTCACTGCGTCTGAGCTCGGTGGCGAGGAAGCAGAGGGGCAGCCGAGGCTTGGAGAAATGGCTCCTGCCTTTGGCGTAGTGGCAGGCGTGCCAGGCTGACTGAGCAACCTTGGGCAAGTCGTTGCACATCTGCAGACCATAGTTTCTTCATCTCCGAGCCAAATGTACTGTGCCCCTTGTTATTATAGCTCTGTGGCCTCCATGAGAACATGCACGGAGAGCCAGGAACCGTGCCTGCCTGTCACAGGTGTGCGCGGACCCATGCGTGAGTGCACTGTCCATGCAACTTGCTTGGCAACTCAGCCGCAGCTACCTCATCTGCAAGTTGCAGATTATAATCTGCTTGTGTGGCTGCTGGGTTCTGGCATATTCTAGCAGGGTCTGGAATATCCTTGTGCGCAGTATAGGCGTCATCAGGGTGCCCCTGACCCTCCCCATCACCCTTTCCCTCAGTAGACCGGGGTTCCACACAGCAGCCTCTCACCCTCAGAGACTGGCAGGGGACCTGCTCCCCTTCCTGGGAGGCTTCCAGCGTCCACTAACAGCACGTCTGTTTGTGTCCACCCCCCACCCCGGCTCCTGGGTTAAAATTTCACAGGTGGGCATCGCTCCAGGGTTCAGGGCTTTTGGCTCCCAGCATCTCTGTTGGCTGGTGTCACGGACGCTGGATCCCCTGTTTCCTTTCTGGACCTCAGTTTCTCTGTCCCATCCACTGGGTGGACAGAGCAGTGATAGGGAGAAGCCTGGTCCATAGCTGTGTGGTCTGGGGCAGACCACCACCCCTCCATGACACAAGGCAGCGAGCTCTGCCAGCTGGTGCTGTGGTCTGCGCACTCAGCTTATTCTGTTGGTGCCAGCATGGGCCGCGTCATTGATCCAGGCACTTGCAGGAAGCCAGGGCTCCTTCCTTCAGGAGCTGCGAGCTCCGAATGGGTCTTCGACCCATTGTGTAGCATGAACGGTGAACCCGCTACGAATGCAAGATCCATGGGGTCGTCCCTTGGTTGGCTCCGTCGGGGCCTGGTTCCTGTCCTCAGGGAAGTGCTAGTTGTTGGGGGCGGGGGGGGTTTGGGGGCGGGGACGTGCCCAGTGAAGGCCTCGCTGAAGAAGCCTCAGAGGAAGCCAAGTGGTGAAGGGGCCAGGAAGGACAGTGCCCAGGGAAGACTTTGCTGAGAGGCTGCAGGGGTGAGGGAACAGCACGTGAGCTAAGTGGAGGACAGTGCAGAATGTGGGCCGGAGTGGCCCAGGGCGGTGACCTGGGGGAGGCACAGAATGTTATTTGGGGCAGGAGCAGTGTTCAGAGTACAAAGTAGAGTGACCCATTGAAAGAGAGCGCACTGAGCAAGGTCCAAAGGTGACCTTGTGCGGATGGCCAAGCTGGAGTCGGCGGTGAGTGGACACCAAACAATTAGGCCAGAAAACTGGGTCAAATCCTGGAGGTCTTGCATGATGGGAAAAGATGGGATTTGTGGGTGCCTAGGGGTGCAGGGCACTTCTCCCGGCTGCCAGTGACTCCCCCTCTGGCTTTGGTTTCCCAGACAAAAGCAGCTGCTAGGCTCTTGGAGATCTGAAAGTGAGTGAAGCCTGGGGAGGGTCATACCCAGGGTCCAGGCACCCTCAAGCCTGGTACAATGGGCTCAGGGCAGGAGGCCCTGGCACACGGGCCCAGGCCTGGAGCTGAACAGAAACAGACTCTGTTCTGTTTGGGGACCAGGGCAGGTGAGGTCGGAGAAGGGGGGTGATGACAATGATGATAGCTACTATTGTCTTTAAAAAAAAAAAAAGTATGTTATGTGTACAACAGCTGAGGTACAGGCCAGAGGGTGAGAGGAGTCACCAGAGACAGAGTGGGGAGAACAACAGGCAGATGGACACTGCTGAGGGGAGCAGCAGGGAGACAAGAGAGGTCTGCGGTGCCATGTGGGTCACCTCCCTGGTCGGGAATTGAACTGGTGCTGAGGCGACTGCAGCTAGCTTCGCAGTGCCGCGCTTTAACCCATTGCACCACCAGGGGGCGCTCTCTCGCTTTAACCTGTTGTGCCACCCGGTCCCTTTCGCTGTCCTTTGTGAGATGCCAGTTCACAGCCGTTGCCCATTTTTTAACTGGATGCCGTGTCTTTGAAAATCTGATCTGTAGAAGGTGCTGAGATACTCTGGGCACGAGCTGTGTGCCGGTGGCGTTACCGGACGGCCTCCTGCTCAGCTGCACTGTCTCAGGTGTTTGTTGATGGACAGGTGGCACGCTGGGGCTTCCAAGTGCTCTTTATGTCTGTGGCCCTTGGGTTACCTGGCTCAGGACGTACTGCTGCTCCAAAGCCTGAGTTTGGTTCGAGAAGCTGAGTGGCCGACCCGCACACGGAGGCCCATGCCACCTCAGATTACTGTTGTCTTTGTGCACACAGAAGTATCCTACTCCCATGTGGATTGGCTCTCCACTTCCCCATGAGCACTTGCGCCTCTGTGTCGCGCTGAAGTCCCTGCCACCGTCAGCTCACGCAGATGGCCGGCGCCTGCGCGTCCTCCAAACACCACCGGCTCACCTGTCCAGAGAAGCTGACCCCACGGCTTTTGGCCTGACCCCAGGGCTCTGCATCCATCACCACAGTCCACCCTCGGACACTCCCTCACCCATGAGCGGTCCAGTCCGCCTCCCGGCCCTCCGCAGCCACTAGCCCGCTCGGGTCTCTGGGGACCTGCTTGTTTTCTTAGGACATTTGTGTCTTGGACTCATGCCTGGGTCACTTGGCCAAGTCTCTTCCCCACTTAGCATTGAGTTTGCGAAGTCCTGTGCGCTGGGTGGGTCAGGGCGTCCTTCGCCTGCGTCCGGTAGGGCCGAGTGAGCCCCCCTTGGGTGCTGGACCCCTTCGTGGGTGAGTGTGCACGATGGAGTTCGTGTTGCTCCGCCCGGGAGCTGGGAGGAGCAGCTGCTGTAGAGCCCCGTGCCGCTTCTCGTGGACGGGAGAGTGGCGCAGCGGAGAGGGAGGAGCTGGAGTCCTGGCAGCTGGCCCGGCGCGGCTTCCTCAGTCTCTCCACCAGAACGTGACCTCGTGGCTCTGGCCCACCGCGCTGCTCACCTGGCTGCTTTCCCACCCCGTAGCTGTGGCGCTGCCAATGACCCTGTGAGAGCCGCGCGGACTCGCCCCGGGACTGTCCTGGAGCGGCCCTGCTGCGTGCCCATGATGGCGTCCGACACTCCCGAGTCGCTGATGGCGCTCTGCACCGACTTCTGTCTGCGCAACCTGGACGGCACCTTGGGCTACCTGCTGGACAAGGAGACCCGGAGGCTGCACCCGGACATCTTCCTGCCCAGCGAGATCTGCGACCGGCTCGTCAATGAGTGAGCAGCGGGGGCGGGGAGAGATCGGAGCCCCTGTGCGTGACCCCATGGGTGCAGCCACGATACTTACGTGCAGGACATGCCGGCATGTCTGCAGTTGAAAGGGCACAGGCATGTGCATGGAGTGCGGAGGGAGGAACTGGGGTGCACAGGAAGGGGTGGTGTGGACTTCCGCAGCCCGGAGCGTATCAGGGAAACCGCAGATGTGCTCCACGCCCATGTGAGGGCGCAGCAGCCTGCACATGAAGGGGAGTCACGCACCAGCCTGCGTGCGCAGGGGGCTCGTGCCTGCCAGCACGTGTCCACAGACGGTGGCAGGTCCACGCACCCAGTGCCTGGCCGTGGGTCCATGACCGGGTTGAGAAATCCACACCCCTGCAAGGGGCTCCCCACCAGGAGAGGGTCCTGGAAGCGCGAGGATCACTGGCGTCCGGGAGTTCGGTGTAGATGTGTGGAGGGAGTGGTTATGTTACAGGGCAGGGGGAGGGGCACCCCAGCACCCCCAAACCTGCCCACTCTAATTAAGCTCTGCCAGCTGCCATGTCAAGACAAAACATTAAGGTCTTTCACGGAAAGGGACTTTCATACGGTGAGTGTGCAATTCAGACAAGACGACGAACGTCGTTTCTGAATCAAGCACCCAAAGTGGCCCGTCCCCTCGGGGGTAAAAGTCCACCCGAACGGGACCAGCCCAGAGCGAGGCCTGAAAGCCCGACCCGGTCTGAAACCCCTTCTGGCGGGACCCATCGGCAAGGGTCAGCAACGGCCAGACCAGTCTGGGAGGAGAGAGCCAAATCTAAACCAAGATAAGCCACGGTCACCTCCCACGGCCGCTGGCCCGCGTCTGTGTCACCCGGCACAGGGCCGAGAGACAAGAGCCGCTTCCTCACATGTCTCTGCTCCTGGGTCCCCTCAGGTCTCCTGCTGGCTCCATCCTGCTTCCTTCCTCTTCAGGCTCCTCTCCAGATTCTCCTCCCTGCTTGGCTCCACCTCTTTTGGGTGGGGCAGGGAACCGGGAGCGTCCCCTTTCCCGGGGACCCCCAGTTCCAGTTAGCCCAGACTGTGGTGTGTGCGCGTGGGAGCCTCTGTGACTGGAGGACAGAGCCTGCCTTGTCCCAAGGTTCTGCGTGCGGAGTGCAGCTCAGGCTCGATGGACATTTCACAGACCAGAGTGAAGTCCATCTCCTGGATGAGGAAACTGAGTCGAGAAACGCTGGGTTACTTGTGTGAAGTAGCCTGGGGAGTGAGCGGCCCCTCAGGATTACACTCTAGAGTGTCTGACTCCCCAGCATTTCCCGACCGGCCAGGATTCCTGTGAGAGCTGCTTTGCCTATGGGCCTCTCTGGAGTGCCTGCCCTCCACCCAGCTGGGGACTCTAAACCCTTTGCTTCATTTTCCTGCTGGCTAGGGGGCTGGCAGGGTCAAAGAACAAGGATCAAGGATGAAGCCCCAGCTTAAAGGAGAGGCTCGCGCCCTCCCTGGCGGCGCAGCGGGTTAAAGCGCAGCACTACGAAGCTGTCCGCTGCCTCTGCAGCACGAGCTCCATCCCCGGCCAGGGAGTGACCCCAGGGTGCAGCAGACCCCTCCTGTCTCCCCACTGCTCCCCTCTGCAGTGGATTTCAGTAGCTCCGCCTGTTCTGCTCCCCTCACTGTCTCTGGTGAATCCTCTCACCCCCTGTACTTCTGACCTGTACCCCAGTTCTTGTATGTATAAATAAATAAATTTTAAGAAAACAGGAGAGGCTTGCGGACATGAGGAGGCCCTGGGGGGAGTGATATGCTGCACCTGGAGAGGAGGCGCACGTGAACACGCGTTTGGAAGCACCTGTGTGCTTGTGTGTGGGGCGGCAGTGAGATTTACTGCTGACAAGAGGCCCCTTCCTCACAGGAGGTCACCAGGGGCAGCTTTGGACGCTGGGGCTGCCCGTAATCCCACCTGCAGGAAGTCGGCTTCGACCGGGAGGCGGCGGAGACGGAGGCTGCTGCCTGGTGATCTGAGGGGGTTGGGGAGGGCCGGGCGCCTCCTGAGAAGCTCTCTGCTCCTCCAGGTACGTGGAGCTGGTCAATGCCGCCTGCAACTTTGAGCCTCACGAGAGCTTCTTCAGCCTCTTCTCGGACCCCCGCAGCACCCGCCTCACCCGCATCCACCTGCGCGAGGACTTGGTGCAGGACCAGGACCTGGAAGCCATCCGCAAGCAGGTGAGACCCAGACGGCCGGGCGCCGGGAGGCCGGTGGTAGTCAGGCCGGGGCCGCTGGCCCCCAGCGCGCCACCCCAGGCCTCTCCCTGCCCTTCCTCTCTGGGTCCACCCCGCCCGGGCCAGGACGAGGCCCCTGGAGCCCAGGAGCGGCCGGGAGTGGCGGACGTGAGGCCAGTGTGTGACTGTCCCCAGGACCTGGCGGAGCTGCACCTGACCAACTGCGAGAAGCTGTCAGCCAAGAGCCTGCAGACGCTTCGGAGCTTCAGCCACACCCTGGTGTCCCTGAGCCTCTTCGGCTGTGCGAACATTTTCTATGAGGAGGAGAACCCCGGCGGCTGTGAAGACGAGTGCCTCGTCAACCCCACCTGCCAGGTGCTGGTCAAGGACTTCACCTTCGAAGGCTTCAGCCGCCTGCGCTTCCTCAACTTGGGCCGCATGATCGACGGGGTCCCCGTGGAGTCCCTGCTGCGGCCGCTCAGCTCGCTGGCCGCCTTGGACCTCTCAGGCATTCAGACAAGTGACGCGGCCTTCCTGACCCAGTGGAAGGACAGCCTGGTGTCCCTCGTGCTCTACAACATGGACCTGTCTGACGACCACATCCGCGTCATCGTCCAGCTTCACAAGCTGCGGTGAGCTGCCGGCCCGGGGCTCGCCGGGCGGGAGGGGGAGGTGGGTGTTGGCCTTTCCAGAAGGCCCCCAGCCCCTGGCCTTCTAGAAGGTGGGGATGGAGGATGCCATCCCACTCCTGAAACCCAGTGTTTCAACCAGACCAAGGCTGCTCAGGGCACCTGGGTCACCAAGGGCTTTACCCAGCATGCCCTGCAGCAGCTAGGGCAGGAACAGGCCCTCCCCTGCCAGGCGCTGAAGGCGCAGGGGCCTCCTGGAGCTCCAGCCATGTCCCGCGCCTGACCTGTGCCCACACCCTGTCTCCAGACACCTGGACATCTCCCGAGACCGCCTGTCTAGCTACTACAAGTTCAAGTTGACTCGCAAGGTGCTGAGCCTCTTTGTGCAGAAGCTGGGGAACCTGATGTCTCTGGACATCTCTGGACACACGATTCTGGAGAACTGCAGCATCTCCAAGATGGACGAGGAGGCAGGGCAGACCAGGTGGGGCCCTGCCGCATGGTGGCCACTGGTGTCGTCACCGAGCTTCCCCGGTGCCAAGTGCTGTGCTGGGGCTAGAGATAAGGAGTCGCGCCCGCCTCTCAGTCTGCAAGCAGGCGGGCCCAGATAAGGCTGTGATGGGGGTGCACAGGGTCCTGGGCTGTGTGAGGAGGGAAGGAGGAGGGTGGCCGACTGGCCTCGGGATCCTGGTTGCTCATTCTGAGTTTACAGTGGGCACAGCGTGTGCAAAGGCTGGAGGAGGCGGGGGAGCGGGGAGGCGGGTGGAGCCCAGGGCGTCGTGTCAAGGGCCTGCCATGCACAGGTGTCACTGGGCAGGTTGCTTCCGGGTGGGTGCGTCAGGAGGCCTGATGGAGCCCATCCTGCTGGAATCAGCCATGGCCTCTCCGCGCTGAGCAGGGTTTGGTAGCTGAGCATGGTGGTCGCCAGGACATGAAGGTGAAAAATTCTCACCTCGATGGCCGGTAGCCTCTTCCAGAGCTGGCTACCTCACAGGTCCCAGGCTGCATGTTCTAGAATGTGTCTTTGCCACCCTTCCATGAAGACCCGAGGTGGATGGCCCTGAGCCTCAAAAAGAAGAAAGAGGACGAGGCCGGAGGGCTAGAAGCGGCCCCTAAGGCCAAGCCCAGCCGCCCCAGGCCTCTAACCCAGCACCCTCTTTCCCCAGCATCGAGCCATCCAAGAGCAGCATCATGCCTTTCCGGGCTCTGAAGAGGCCCCTGCAGTTCCTTGGACTCTTCGAGACCTCCCTGTGCCGCCTCACTCACATTCCGGCCTACAAAGTGAGGGGTGTGCAGGAGCGGGCCCGTTGGGCCCAGGGAAGGGAAGGGGCTTGGCTAGGGCCCCAAGATACCTGCTCTGTGACCTGGGGGGCCCACCCAGCCTCTGTGGGTTGTTCTGAGCATGCTCCATCCCCAGGTAAGTGGTGACAAGAACGAGGAGCAGGTGCTGAACGCCATCGAGGCCTACACGGAGCACCGGCCCGAGATCACCTCGAGAGCCATCAACCTGCTTTTTGACATCGCACGCATTGAGCGCTGCAGCCAGCTGCTGCGGGCCCTGAAGGTCAGCCCCGCCCGCCCGGGCCCTGGCTCCCTGCCCCACCTGGGGGCGTGGCCGTCTCCCCTCGGCATCCCCAGGGCAGGCCCCTGCCGGCTGACCTCTAGCACCTGGCCTGGCCCAGTCTCCCCAGGCTGCTCCTCCTCTGCTTCTGCCCTCAGAGGCAGCCCTGCCCCAGGGCTCGTGGCGCCCCCGCCTGTCCCGGGGCCGATTTCACCTCCAGGGCCCTGCCTGTCTCCATACAGCTGGTCATCACGGCCCTCAAGTGCCACAAGTATGACAAGAATATCCAGGTGACGGGCAGCGCTGCCCTCTTCTACCTGACCAACTCCGAGTACCGCTCCGAGCAGAGCGTCAGGCTGCGCCGGCAGGTCATCCAGGTGGTGCTGAACGGCATGGAGTCCTACCAGGAGGTGACGGTGAGCCCCGCCCGCGAGGGCCACGCGGCGTGCTCCCGCGCAGCCCTCTTCCTGCTGCTCGCCCGTGTCCCAGTGCTCTCGCCCTCTCTGGCCTGATTCAGTGCTGTCCCCGCTCCCTCCCACCCCGGCCGGCTTCACGCCCAGACTCCGGGCCTGGCATCAGAGCCCCCTGCCCAGCCCATCTCCCTCGACTGCCCTCCAGCCAGGACCCCGACTCCTGCCTCTGGATCTCGCTCCCGCCAGCTCCCCAGCCCTCCAGCCTAGAAACACCCGCAGGGGGTATTTTCAAGAGCTGCCTTTATGATAAAAGCAGTAACGGTTTCTGCTGTAGAAAAATTGGTACAAAGAAAATAAAAGCCCCCACAACCATGCCACCCAGTTGGCGTTTGGGGTAGCTGCTGTTCTGGGTGTGAGCCGGCACCCTAGTGTACTCGGTGGGATACTGCGTGCCCCGGCCGTGGGCCTGGTTTCCCAGTCTCATAGATCCGGACATCTCCCGTCTCAGCAAACACTTTTATAACAGAATTGCAGAGTTCTCTTCTGCTTACAGACATAAATGCCTACGGCAAATTCAGCAATACAGACGTGCTCTAGAAAGTGTAAACACCTGGGCCCCCCCGGTGGCCCAAGCGGTTAAAGTGCAGCACTATGACCCTGGCCACAGCCACTGCAATGCCAGTTTGATCCCCGGCCAGGGAGTGACCCACATGGCTCAGCAGGCCCCTCCTGTCTCCCGCTGCTCCCCGCAGCGGTGTATTTCAGTCCATCTGCCTGTTGTAATCCCCACTCCGGTGAATCCTCTTTCCCCCAGCACCTCTGGCCTACACCCCAGTTCTTCTATGTAAAATAAATACAATCTTTTAAAAAAGAAAGTGGGGAACCCCCCCCCCCCAGCGCTCCTTCCCCAGACAGCTGGCGGTGGTCGCTCAGCAGTGTGATTGTTGCATGACACTCGGGAGCCTCTTCAGGGGAGGCCACTCTGGTGGCAGCTCGGCCGGGGAGCAGGGCAGGGCTCCCCCGGGCGTAGGGGCTATGCCCACGGTTGGCTGTTTAGGCTGCTCTTTGTTGTTTCAAACAAGGCTTTGCTAGCTGCACTGAATGAATCATCTTTACAACACATGTCTACAAGTAGAATTGTGAGGCCGTGGGTATATGGTTTTTTTTAAAGTGTTTGGTATATTTCCTCGAACTCTCCTCCAGAAAGGCGGCGGTGGAGACATGGCCTCCGCGGGCACAAGGCTGTCCCTGCCCCGCAGCCTGCAGCTCCCACCTCAGAGCGACTGTTTGTTCTACACTGAGGTCAACTTTATAATCAAGTTTAAAAGGGTCCATTTTTTAATGAAAAAAAAAGTTATTTGAAGATCCCTAAGCAAATGAATAAACCCAGTCAAAGACTTGGAAATGAAAATAACAAGCTAGCACATTTCAACTCAAGAGATGGATGACAGATACCGTGGGTAAAGGTGGGGGAGACCACTCTCGGGCGCCCCCCACTGGTGAGGTAGGAATGATTCCACCTTTTGGGAGGGCAGTTTGGCAGAACTTGCCAAAACTCTTGGTGCATTGATGATTTGACCTAGCTGTTTTCGCACAGTTAGAAATATTCTTTTTTTTTTTTTAAGATTTATTTATTTATGTGTACAAGAACTGGGGTGTAGGTCAGAGGTGCAAGGATGGGGGGATGAGAGGATTCACCAGAGACAGAGTGAGAAGCAGAGCAGGCAGATCTACTGAAATAAATGGCTGAGGGAAGCAGCAGGGACACAGGAGAGGTCTCCTGCACTCTGGGGGTCACTCCCTGGCTGCGGATCCAACTTGTGCTGCAGTGGCTGCAGACAACTTCCTAGTGCTGAGACTTAACCCCCTGCACCACCAGGGAGGCCCCAGAAATATACACGGGGGCCTTGCTGGTGGAGCAAGGATTAAAGTCTAAACACTATCAAGCTATCGCCAGCCACTGCAGCTTGAGTTTGTCCCCGCCAGGGAGGGACCCCCATGGCGCAGCAGACCCCTCCTGTCTCCCACTGCTCCCCTCAGGGTGTTTCAATAGATTCGCCTGTTCTGCTCCCCACTCTGTTTCTAGTGAATCCTCTTACCCACCCCACACCTCTGGTTTGGACCCCAGTTCTTGTATACATAAATAAAATAAATCTTGGGAAAAAAGATACACATATACCACCTTGCTTGATTAAATAGAAATCAGAGGGCGCAGTCTCGCATGGCTCCCCACGCGGGGTTCCCTGCTGGGACAGCACCTCCTAAGGTGTCTACTCCTTGCCGGTGATAGAGGACGTATTTGGGACCAAGATGTATAACTTCCCTTCTCTACTCCAAATTCATGTTTATATTCACATGATGAAAAATCTGGAAAAATGTCCACCAAACTTTTGACAGTCATTACTTCTGGGAACTAAAATGGGCGCCTTAAATGTCCTGCTGAGTTTGATTTGCACATTTTACATGATTATTCGCTTTTATCATTGAAAGTTTTTTTCTCAAAAACATACGTATGGGGGGGAAGAAGTGACAAAAAGTTACCCAGGGGATAGGGGATATCCTGTGCGTGAATAGAGTATAATGAATTGGCAGAAGCAAATGATAAAGAGGAATTAAACGATAGGAAATGCGCTGAGAATACTGTAAAAGGAAGTCAGTCCGCAGATGATGCAAAGAAAAAATGAGGATGTGGGTAGACCAGTGCTCATCGCTGGTGTGAGTGTAGGCTGGGACTGCCACATGGGGGTGTGGTATCACCTGGAAGTTGAAGAGATGTACACCTTGCGACATCCAAGCTCCACCCAAGTGTGTCTTCCCTGGAGAAACTAGAGACATTGCTCTAAGTGGCCAACACTGCCGTCCACCCAGACATCTACTGATGGCTGAACAGATGAATGGGTTTTAGAATACTATGCTGCAATGGAAAATGAAAGCATTCCAGGCACCCGCAATAATAATGGTTAAGCCTTGCAAACCTTTATTGAATGAAAAGATGCTAGAAAATCAAAGAACAGGGAGAGGAACTTACAGTCAGGAGGTAGGTGTGGGGATTCCTGGGCGTCAGCAATGTTTAATTTCTTGAGCCAGGTGGCGCTTACATGGTTGTTAAAGGGCTTGTTTGCTTTATGATGAGCAGAAAGCTGTACATTTGGGGTTTGGTACTCCTGTATGAATATTATGTATTTCATGTTGTTTTAAATGTTTTGGTTTAAGAGTCTTGCAGTCCCCCCTTCCAGAAAATCTTCCTGGACACCCACAGTTGTGGATGATGTCCCATTTCTAGAGTCCAAGTCCAGCTCCCGAGTTGGCCCCTGACCTTGCCCCACTTGTGTCCTGATCCAGGTCCAGCGGAACTGCTGCCTGACCCTCTGCAACTTCAGCATCCCTGAGGAGCTGGAGTTCCAGTACCGCCGGGTCAACGAGCTCCTGCTCAGCATCCTCAACCCCGCACGGCAGGACGAGTCGATCCAGCGCATCGCTGTGCACCTGTGCAACGCCCTGGTCTGCCAGGTGGACAATGACCACAAGGAGGCCGTGGGCAAGATGGGCTTTGTGGTGGTGCGTGCCGGCAGGCTGCCTCTCCCCCTTCCTCTCATGGGGCTCTGGAGGTGGACCTGGGCCAGGTGTGGGAGGGAGAGGGTGTGCTGAAGCATGAAGGATTTGGGCTGGATCAGAGGAAGAACTTCCAGACAGCTCAAGTTGCCCAAGCATCCCCTAGAACACTGCCACTTTCTCCCAGCCCCCCCACTGTCCATGAGGCCCGCCCTGTGCCAGCCACTCCTGCCTCTCCAGACCAGGTGTCCTGGTACAGCATCCCAGAGGGCATTAAATAAGTATCTGAGGGCCCCAGTTAACAGCAGCCTCCCGGTGGGGCTGCAAGCGTGCACCTCCTGGTATAGGGCTGGGGGACTGTGTGGAGGTGATGTTTGCTGAAGGAGGGAAGATTGGGGAAGATGCTAGAGAGCATCCAGCTCTTCTCTTTATCTTGGGTGAGGTGAGGCTGTCAGAGGGGAAGGCGGGCCCACAGCCACACAGGAGTGGAAGGGGTCGGGACTGAGACCCAGTGCAAGAGCCGAGGGTCTGTGAGTTGCGCTTCCCAAATAGATCTGCTGGTTCCAGCAGGACCCGTTGCCTGCAGTCGAGTCCCCAGCTCTACCCTCTCCACCTTGGTTTTGGGGGACATGGAGATCTTGAGCCCCCGCAAGTTCTTTCTCTGCCCACAGACCATGCTGAAGCTGATTCAGAAGAAGCTGCTAGATAAAATAGTAAGTTGAGTCTTGATGGGGCCGCCCTGCCTTTCCCCCAACCCAAGCAGGGACTGGTTTGCCCCAAGAATGTCCCTGTTTGGCTGGAGGAGCCACCGGGTGCCAGCAGCTGGCGGGCCTGTGTGGGCAAGCCTCTGCTGAGCGCCCTGCCCCCAGTGTGACCAGGTGATGGAGTTCTCCTGGAGCGCCCTGTGGAACATTACGGACGAGACGCCTGACAACTGCGAGATGTTCCTCAACTTCAACGGCATGAAGCTCTTCCTGGACTGCCTGAAGGTAGCCCCCGGGCCAGCTGCCCCTGGCCGACCCCTCACTCCCCCGCTCCCTTACCCTGGCCCAGCTGCTCTGGGCACCTTTCCTGACCCAGCTGGCTTAGCTGTGCATCCCAGAGCCCCTCCCAGGGGCCCCAGCCTGAGCCTCTCAGCAGGGCTGGCTCAGGCCCCTGGTCCGACAGGTGCCCACGGGGATGTTGGCTGGACAGAGTTCTGTCCAGTAGGGTGATCTGTTCATTCCAGAACCCACCATTCTCCCACTCTGGTTCCTAAGAACTAGTTCCCTTAAACTAATCCTCAGAGCTTTGGTGACTGGGACACACGTGTCCCTTCGGGTGTAGGGCCTTTTTTCCGCGGCAAAGAGAGCGTCTCCTCAGTCCCTCAGCATGTGCACCCAGCACTAGGTGCGCTAGAAGGGAGGAGGGTGGCATGTGGCACCCTCTCTGTCCAGCGAGAATGACAAGACAAAATCCCATAAAGCTTTTAGGTTAATACTACCGGGCAGTGAATAATCAGACAAACTGATAGGGCTCGGTGGCTCTCCTTTTGCCAGGAATTTCCGGAGAAACAGGAACTGCATCGGAATATGCTGGGACTCTTGGGGAACGTGGCAGAGGTGAAAGAGCTCCGGCCCCAGCTAATGACGTCACAGTTCATCAGTGTCTTCAGGTTGGTTCCGCTCGGTCTCCTTTCCCTTTTTACCCGGGTGTCTGAGCACCTAGGCTATACATGTCACCTCTGTCCTGTAATATGGTTTTTATTCTTTCAGTTCTCCATAAATGGTCCTCTTGTAGCTGTAGCTCATCTGTGACCTCAAGATCCTTTTAGAAATTGCCTGGGCATGGGTAACACATGATAGAGAAATACAGAGCTCCTCTGGCATCTGGTTTGTCGGTGGACGTTCGGCAGCTGGTATTTGAAGAGGGGTTTGGGGGCCAGGACGCCACAACTCCCTCTTCTTGGCAGCAATCTGCTGGAGAGCAAGGCGGACGGGATCGAGGTGTCCTACAACGCGTGCGGTGTCCTCTCCCACATCATGTTTGACGGGCCCGAAGCCTGGGGCATCTGCGGGCCCCAGCGGGAGGAGGTGGAGGAGCGCATGCGGGCCGCCATCCAGAGCTGGGACGTCAACTCACGGAGGAATATCAACTACAGGTGTGCGGGGGGCAGAGCCTCTGACCTTCCTTCCAGCCCCTGGCGTGGCCCCCACACGGCGCACACGGCCCCCGCCGCCCGCAGCTGAGCAGACGATCCACGCATATCAACACCTGCGTGTCCCCCAAGCCTGCTGCTTACAGACATGCTGCATGCTGTGGGGCAGGAAAGGGGGAAACGCAGTCGCACCCCGGGAACCAAACACAAGCGCTGCTCACCCCGCGCCCCGCCAGCGCCCCGCCAGCAGCTGCTGTCGCCCTCCCAGCCGGATTTACCTGCGTCCAGGGCAGCTGGCATCAGCTCCTACTGTCTTGAGGGTGAACTTCCAGCCGCGAGGTGGGGGGCTTGGCACTTCTGGACTCCAGGGGCCGTCAGGTTTGGGACACCCACACTGGGAGGGCCAGTCCCCCGCGCCTTGGGGACCGGCCAGTGACTGTTGTTCCGAAGGACAGCGGAGGTGGTGTCCATGACCCGGAGGGCCTGCATGTCCATCTTTCAGACTTTGGAACCATGGCTCCTGATGGGCAGCCATAGGGCTCCGGCGGGCAGCCACGCTGTCCTTGGCTCGCAGGGTGCCCGCGCCCTCCGAGCCGGCCTTGGCAGCTTCTGCACTCCCTCCTCAGTGTCCGTGCCCCTGACCTTTCTCACAAGGGAGGTCCCTCTGTGTGCTGGCCTGGAGGTGAAGGGCCAGGCGCCCCTTGGTCCCTTGCCGCCTGGTCTGTCCATAATTTGTCCACAGGACTCTTCAGAGAGGCCTCAGGCGTGACCTTGACTTCTCTTCTCACAGGTCGTTTGAGCCCATCCTGCGCCTCCTTCCCCAGGGCATCTCTCCTGTCAGCCAGCATTGGGCCACCTGGGCCCTGTACAACCTCGTGTCCGTCTACTGTGAGTACACGCGTGCCCTTTGTTCAGCCACGAACCCCTCACCGAGCTGGGCGCTAAGTCACGCCAGAGGGGCTGATCGTGGGAGAGGAGCATGCGCAGAGCTCCCACACGCCGCGAGAGCCAGCCCCACTCGCCGCCAGAGGCAGGCCTGTTCTCCACTCGCTGTTACTTTGAGCAAGTTCTCAGCCTGTGTGCCTCGTGTCCCTCACCTCTAAAATGGGATGATGATGGCACTTACCTCATAGGGTGGCAGTGCAGCCAGACAAGGGCCTCGCTCCGGAGCCGGCACCTGCCCACTGCTCAGCAAGCAGCCACCTGCATTGTTAGGACTCGAGGCCGGCCTCACTGTAGTGAGCGCCTTTCCACCCAGAGACGGCTTGGCCCAAGGAAAGCCCTGAGCTGGCACTCCCCAGCTAAGCCTTGGACTGACTGGGCCAGTCGCTTCACCTCTCTGTACCTCAGTTCTTTTATCTGTGACATGGAGCTTCCAAGGACAGCTCCTGCCACACAGCTGCAGAAGCCTCTGGAAATGCCCGTGTTCTCCAGGGAGCGAAAACCCTGCGCCAGGCACTAGAATGTTCTTTGACAGAGTCAAACATGAAACCAACGGTGGCTCTAGCCTGACGGGTCCCCAGGACCCCCTGGTGGTGGCTTGTTAGGGGTACAAATAGGGGTCAGTCTGTGGCTTCGGGATGGCCAGAGCAAGACTTTGACAGGGGCTTCTCAGAATTGGCACGTGCAAAGACCAGTTGGTGATATTTTCCACAGGGTGAGCTCCAGCAAAAAATGCAGTGACTGTGTAGCCGAACTTCCAGGGCAGGGCCTGCCCCAGGGAGCCACCCCTGCTTCTTCAGGGGGCTCGGCCTGCGCCCCGGGCTCACCCACGCCAGAGCCCGCACCCAGTCTGTGCGGGCTCATCCCGCCCCTCTGGAAAGGGAGGGCTGGCAGCCGAGGGCCACCGTGGGCTGATGGGGGGCCCACCTGATCTCCCCACAGCTGACAAGTACTGCCCCCTGCTGATCAAGGAGGGAGGAATGCCCCTTCTGCGAGAAGTGATCGCCATGGCCACCGCCCGGCCAGAGACCAAGGAAATGGCCCGGTAAGCCTGGCAGCGTTTCTGGGAGTGAGGGGCACGGGATCCTCTGGTGGACAAGAATGCCGAAACGCCAGGGGCACCTGGAGTGTGGTGTCACTTGGGCCATGATATGGCCAGAGAGACGGCTGCCGTCCACAGGCCTGTTCTCAGTGAGTTCCGCCTCTCACCACTGGGCGGTGAGCACGCCCGTTCAGAATTTTTTGCCATTTTGGCCAAAGCACTGCAGCGAGGCGAGGACAGGGTGGCAAATGCACTGCGGAGGCGGGCGGGGTGGCAGGCGCCAGGCCCTCGTGCAGAGGAGGCCGGCCTGACCCAGCCCGGCTCTGAGCTCCCCACGCAGAAGCTGTCGGGCAGTCCCCGTCACCGTGGGCAGTAGTGGCCCCGTCGGCTCCAGGGCTAGGATCTGTTCTGGAAGGGTGCGGAGTTAAGTTTGGCTCGGTTCTGAACCCCGACATCAAATACCTGGAGCCCAAAGATGCCCAACGGGACTCGAAGCCAGAGCATCACCTTGGTCTGGCAGAGGACTGAAATGCTCATCACTGACCTCCCTGCACCTGGGAGGGAAAATGAGGGGTTTCCAGACACCCTCCGAGAGGGCCATCTGGAGGGTGGCTGGGAGCCTGCCGGTCCTGCCCGCTTTCCGCGCCCAGCGGGTCCAGGAGGTGGTACGTGCCCAGGCAGTTGGGGATCCCCGACAACTTGGAGCATCTGTGACACCGAGGAGTGTCTCGAGCCGGCCTGACAGCAGTGTGAGTGGCACGACAGGGTGCTTAGGAGAGGTCACTGCCTGTCACGGCTCCTGTCCCCCGCAGGCGTCCCTTACTTCCCACAAGGCCCGGGGACACTCGGTAGCCCTGGAGGCAGCAGTGAAGCCAACCCAGCCCAGAGGCGCAGGGCCTGGGACACCTGGCAGCAGCGGGTCATCAGAGCCACCCAGAGATCTGAGCAGTGTTCCCAAATGCTGGGTATGGGTGACTGGTGTGCCCCAGTTTGGGGTCGCGAGTAGTAGACTGAGACAGAAAAGCACTGGCACACGCAGTGAGCAGGTGCGGCCAGAGGACGCGGGAGGGTCGCGAGCTGGCTCTCTGGAGCCCCTGACCAGGCCTGCAGGGCAGAGGGGGGGGGAGGAAGGAGGAGGGGAGACTGGGGCCTGTGGGGCCCTTCCCAGTACCCTGCACGGCGGCCGCCTGTCATGGCGTCCCAGCCAGCGCCTCAGCTGACAAACCCAGCGACCTGCCCCGGAGGGGCCAGCCGCCTCAGCCCTCTCCCATTGTCCCCAGCAAGGTGATCGAGCACTGCAGCAACTTTAAAGAGGAGAACATGGACACGTCCAGATAGAGGCCTGCGCCAGGCTGCCGCCGCTCTAGACCTCGAGGCCGGAAGCGCGCACAGCAGCCCAGCGGGCAGACCCCTGGGGGCTCCCACTGGAGGAAGGGACACGGGGACTTTTGCACAAGCGACGCTTTTCCTTAACATTAGTGAGATATATATATATTATATATATATATACATATATATATTATTTTTTTTTTTTTTGGTTAGGAAGTGTGAAGTTTGGTGTGTATGATTTCCGTACAAAAACAAACAAACAAAAAAACACTCCCTGAGTCCTTGCAGCTTTCTTGGCCATTCTCAAGCCCCATCTCAGAGCCTGCATCGCTGCCACACTCACTCCTGCCCCCGCCTCTCATGTGGGTGTCCGTGAAATGCCTCTCATGTGGGTGTGAAATGCCTCTCATGTGGGTGTCCGTCCTCTCCCAGCCACCTCACACCCTGGCCTCGCTTCCTTTTAAGAGAGGCAGCAGGCTGTTAACAAGCCCCCAGCGCCCTAACCCACCCGCCAAGGCCCGAGGACCCCATCTGCGTTCCTGACGGTGGCTGATGGCGTTTGGAGATTCACACTAGCCCCACTGGCTGTCCAGAACGCCTGGTGCTTCAGCTGTGGGCCCTCTGGGGCAAGGAAGAGAGCCACGCCTCCCTCCGGGCGGCCCCAGCCCCAGAGGACCCTCAAGGGGCGGGCGCAGTGCCCGGTGGCCCCCCGGGCCGGGCCTGCCTGAGGCCATGCTGCTACGGAGGCTGCCGCCTAGTCTCCCCCAGGTCCCAGGCTGTGGAAGGCCCAGCCCAGGGCTGGTCAGAACCGGCGATGCCACTGTCCTTCCTGCCACACAGACCCGGAGGTTGCCCCTGCCTCCCCGCCCGGAAGCCAGCACTTCCCGGGTCAGCGCCTGCTCTCTTCCTCCCCTGCCCCTCCTCTGGCCGCAGCACCCACGGTGCCCAGGCACCGCACCAGCAGAACTGAGCCTGCGTCATTCCCCCTGCCTGCCCTGCTGCCCAGAGGACCCCACACCCATCCCGGGCAGGCGGCCCCGGCTCCAGCCTCTCCTGGAGCAACAGGCAGACACCTCCAGACCAGCAGCCCGGCAGCCCACTGCCCTCAGGGGCCCTCCTGCCCTGCCCCGAGCTACCCTGGAAACCTGTGCTGTGTTCAGAGAAGTGTGAGACTTTGTAACTATCTGGAACTCTCCTTGGCCGCCTTGATGTAACTCTGAATTGCTGCTCCCTCTGGGGACGGGGTGCCGAGGCCCCTCCAGAACCAGGCCTGGGGAGCAGAGCTCACTAGGCAACTCTGGGGGGTGACTTTCTTCCTCCTTCCCTGGGCCTGTTTTGGGGGTCTCCTAGCGTTTCTTCCTCCAGGCAACATAGGTCTGGGGAACGGGGGGGAAAGGGGCTCAGCCTTGTCTCCTACAGGGGTCTTCCCTACGGACCCCAGGAGGGGCAGTTGCCTGTATCCCCTCCAGCATGGTGGTGGGCCGCCTCTGCCCCCTTCCCTGCTCATGAGGCTGAGCCACCCCCGCAGAGCTCACATCACATCGCTTTACCACCCGGGGTCTGGGAAAATGTCTGTACTTGGCAATGCCACAGAAATACATTTTGTGCAAAGTGAAGAAGAGTGTGGTGTCTTCTTTGTGGAAGGGGGTGTCAGAAGAGGGGCTGGGGCGGCTTGGCAGCAGGCCTTGAGTGTGGCTATCTGTGGTGGGGCGCGGGGGGTACCCTTTCAGTGGTCTCGGATGTCCGGCTCCAAGCCTGGGGACCAGTGCAGACGCGGGCTGGGGCACCAGCTTCTCGTGCTCTCCACACCCCTGGGCCCCGACACTTGAGGGGACAGCTGGTGGCTGGAGCAGCAGGGCTCCCGCCCAGGAGCCCAGCCTAACAGTGGAGATAAATGCCAAGTTGGACTGTCCCTCAGTGTGACAGCCCAGAGGCAGGGCCGCCTGTGGCTGCTGAGTGCCTGGGCTCAGAGGAGGCACGTGGGGCCCGGGAAGGCATGGGGGGGCCAGGGAAGCCCGTGGGCTAGGCCGCAGTGCTCAGGAGGGAGACAGCAGCCAGGAGGCAAGGGGCTGCGTGGCATTCCCAGTTAGGGGTGGCCTCTCACAACAGGCGGGAAGTCCAGGCTGCCGTCAAGGGGAGTGGCCAGGGAAGAGCCTGTGGAGAGAGAGCTCAGGGAGAAACACAAGGAAGCCGTTGTGGCTGCAGCCTGTGGAAGACCCAATCCCCGTGACAGATCCCAGCCTTGCCAGGACCGTACTGGCTTACACCTGTTGTCCCAGTATAACTATGAACGGTGCCCTCAGTGGCCCTGGGGTGCCACTGAGGCCCCACCCAATGGGCACCCTTAAAGAACAGCCTGGGTGCTGGTACCAGATCAAGGGGAACCAGTCCACACATGCCAGGTGGTGTCCCAGAGTCCCCCCTTAACCACCCTGCAGCCAGGCTCCTCTGAAACCTTGTTCACTAAGCTTCAACCTTGGTCTTTGAAAGCTATAGACACTCAGGCCCTCCCTGGTGGTGCAACAGGTTAAAGCCCAGCACTGTGAAGCTATCTGCAGCCACTGCAGCCAGGGAGGTGACCCTTATGGCATGGCAGACCTCTCCTGTCTCCCTGCTGCTCCCCTCAGCAGTGTGTTTCAGTCAGTTCAACTATTCTGCTCCCCACTCTGTCTCTGGTGAATCCTCTCACCCCTCACACCTCTGGCCTGTACCCCAGTTCTTGTATGTGTAAATAAATCTTAAAAAAAAACTATAGACACTCAGCACAAGTGATTTCATCCACTTTCTTTTCACATTAGAACACTGCCGTAGTTTCCAACAGCTTGAGGCCATACCTCCTTTAAAGTGCCCCCCAAGAAAGCTCAAGCCTGCCCAAATAATTTTCTCTTTGTGCCAGCCAGCACCAGGCTACAGGCCCCTCACCACCCCTAGAGCATTTACTTCAAAGACTTACAGTCGTGAACCTTCCTCTCTTGCTCTGACATGAATCTGTACCTTGGGCAAAGCAGGTCTTTCTCAGCCCGAAAGTAATTCCTCTAAAATACAATCATCAGCAAGGGTAGGCTCCTGCTCAGTCACTGCAGCAAGCACACAGCTGCCAAATCAGCGTGCGCACTGCCTGCCTGCAACTTTCTCTTCGTTAGTCTTTTCAAGCCCCATGTTTCTCCCCCTCTGCTGTACCCTCATGTTTCCTTTAAAACTCCCCTGGTGTCACAAGGGGTTAAAGCGCAGCACTATGACGCTGTCACAACCACTGCCTTTGGATCCCCGCCAGGGAGTGACCCTCATGGCGCAGCAGACCTCTCTTGACACGCCCACTGCTCCCCTCAGCAGTGTGTTTCAGTCAATCTGCCTGTCCTGCTCCCCACTTTGTCTCTGGTGAATCCTCTTCCCCCACCCCACACCTCTGGCCTGTACTCCAGTTCTTACATGCATAAATAAATGAATCTTAAGAGAAAAAAAAAACTGGATTAGTAATACTGATTAAAATCTATCATTACCACACTACCACTCTAAATAGTGTCAACTGTTTATCTTTGACACCAGCATAGAGGTTGACTCATGGAAGTTTCAGGGTTATTCATTAGGTGGCACTGGAGATCCCAATTCAGAGACAAAGTCATGCAACCATAACCAGACAGTTCCAAGTGACAGACCATTCAAGCACCTACCCAGTTTGGTCAAACATGGTGGGAAATTCATTGACTAGTGCAATTGGGGACCTAGAGTTTTTGTTGTTTTTTATATAAGAACTGGGGTCCAGACCAGAGGTGTGGGGGATAAGAAGATTCACCAGAGACAGAGTGGGGAGCAGAATGGGCAGACTGACTGAACACTGCTGAGAGGAGCAGTGGGTGAGACCGGAGAGGTCTGCAGCACCATGTGGGTCACTGCCCTGGTGGGGATCGAACTCACTGTGGATAGCTTCATAATATGCTGCACTTTAACCCCTTGCGCCAGCAGGGAGGGACCAGAACCTTGAGTTAGTACCAGCTTCAGGCATAGCTGGATCTAGGGGCCCAGACAATGTTAAGATTTTCTCACTTCCTCTTGCAATACTGCTTCTCTGTCTCGGTAACAGGCGCTGCCACCCTCTTTCTCCACAGTGTAAAGCCAGCTGCCAGCTGCAATTAGAGGCTTGAGATGCCAAAAATGCCCCTTTCTCTGTCAGCATTTATACAGAAATCTCACAAAGATTCTGATTGGTCTGCTGAATCATATGCACACCAAAGACTGAGCAGTGAGTACAACGTGGGAAACCAAGCTGGGTCTTCTAGAGTCACACGCTCACAACTTGTCTCCCACCACGCTCTGAAGGGAAGGGACAGACAGTTCCTCCAGAACGACATGGGGTGATGGAGTGAGCTCTCCAGCACAAAAAGGGTGTTGTGCTGACAAAAGCAACAGAAGTCTGAAGAGCCCAATGCAGAGCTGGGAGGGCCCGATGTGACAGAGGAAGAAGGTGGAGGTTGCATCACGGGAGGGACAGGTAGCCGGCAGGATGAATGGGGAAGGCCCTGGACCATGCAACGCCGTGGTCTGGCCAGAGACAAAGCAACTTCTTGCTTATCCCTGCCTGGCTTTGGTCAGTGCCCATGCCTGGTTCACGCCCTGGACACACGGATAAAGAAAAGTGAGTTTAAGAAAGGCAAGACTTTTTGTCTGAAAACAGCCGGAAGGCTCCCTGGGAAGTCAGTGTGCAGGGTAAGTGTTTACACAAGCCGGGAGACAAGCAGCCCCACGCTGGACACTGTATGTCTCGCATTTAGTCCTCCTCCGCCTCCACCAGACAGAAGCCAGAGCTCGGCGCGTGGGGTGGCGCGTGGGGTGGCGTCCCCAGCTGGCACAGGTGCACAGGTCGTGCCGGCCCTCCCCCACCCCAGCTCGGCCGCAGCAGCAGCCTCTGCACCCAGACCTCCACTCCTCCCTTTGCCACAGCGGAGCCGAGACTGCACGGAGGCAGGGGAGCCGCCCCGAGCCGCCCCGGGCGAGCCCGCCCCTCAGTCCGCGCAGCTTGGAATCCCGCACAATTCTGCGGCTCGCAATCACGCCAAAACAATCACCTGGGCCTTTGAAACGCCCCGGGAACTGCACGCATGCGCGACGCCGGGGGTGTGGGACCCGGGCCTGGGGGGCCGCGGGCGCTCAGAGGGGCGGGGTGACGGCTGGCGCCCGCTTTCCAAACTTACCTGACGGGTGGGGACCGGGTGGGGGGAGTTGCCGGCTGCGCGCGCGTCGGCCCCGCCCTCAGCCTTTTCAGGCACCTGTTGGCTCGAGGGCCTACTCGGCCGCAGCTGCCACCCAATAGGCAGCCTCGCTGGCCCACGCCGGCCCCGCCCACAGCCCGGCCCGCCAATCCTCCGCCGGCCGCGGCCCCTCTCCCTCGGAGGGCCCGCCCCCTCGGGCGCTTCTTCCGGGTGGGGCCCGGGGCGGAGGCGATGGCGCCCTGGGCGCTCCTCAACCCTGGGGTCCTGGTGCGGACCGGGCACACCGTGCTGACCTGGGGGATCACGCTGGTGCTCTTCCTGCACGACACCGGTGAGCCGCACCCCGCGCGACCCCGGACCCACCCGACACCGCGTGGTTCCCCAGACCTTTGGGTTTCACTGGTCCCCCTGAAGAGCCCCAGAGATCCTGAGAGCCAAAGGATCCCCGCCGCCCCCACCCCGAGCCGCCCCACCGACCGTGCCAAGAGCCACCTGCCTTCCGCCTAATACCCAGGTGATCCCTAATTAATCCCAACGTCTCCCTGAACCCCATACCCTGGCCATCCCGCGCCCACTGACCCAGGGACTGGCCGGAACCCCGTAGCCCCCAGCCAGTCTCCCCTCCTTAGGATTTCAGGATCAGCTAGATCACTCTGGGCTACTAGCTGCTCGCCTCCAGGCGCCCCGCGGGCAGGCTGGAGAACACCCTGCGGGAGCCACCTGGCCCTGTCTTCCCCTTCTTGCTTCTTGTCTGTGTGGCACTGCACCCTGTCCACCCTCACCTCCATCCTTCCCCCCCTCACCTGCCACGGCTGCCTCATCAAGTTCTCACCCTCCCTCCCTCTCACCTGCCTAGCCCTCTCCCTAACTCCTGCCCCCCCTCCGACCCCAGACTGGGGACCAAGCCCCCAGACCTCAAGCTTCCTCCACTGTCTTCACCCTGCTGTGCTTCCCAGCAGAAGATACCTCCAGCCCCTTCTCCAACCCCATACAGCCACGGGCACCAGACACCCTTCTGGCTGGCCCCCTCACTGCCCCCCCGAAGACTCTTAGTCACCTCAGTGTGGGGCTGGACCCCCAGCCCACCGTTCCCTCCTATTCCCCTGCATCACTGGAACCTGAGGCCCACCCTCTTGGAGAGCCCCTCTGCCTCCAGGTGCCGCCCTGGGGGCAGGGGGGGTGGCTGTGCAGAAACAGAGGGACCCTCTGGCTTTCTCAGCTCCTGTTGCCTGGGGTAAAGCGCAGATGACTGCTCTTTCTCATAGGCCCCGAACAGTGGCCACGCCTGACCATGTATCAGCGCCTTTGCTCGCCCTGGCAACTGCGGCCACCCCCACCCCACCCCCACCCAGGGGCTCTGGCCCTGGCCTCACTCTCCTCCCCTCGGCCTCTACAGCGCTGCGGCAGTGGGAAGAGCAGGGCGAGCTGCTCCTGCCCCTCACCTTCCTGCTCCTCGTGCTGGGCTCTCTGCTGCTCTACCTGGCCGTGTCACTTATGGACCCCGGCTACGTGAACATCCAGCCCCAGCCCCAGGTAACCAAGGGCTCCTGGGTGCCAGAAACGCTCCTTACCGACAGGGACCCAGGCCCCAGTAAGGGTGCCGTGCCCGGGTCTGTGCTGAGGAGTTTCCAGGGCAGCCAAGGAGTTCTCTTGCAGCCCTGTAATCCTCCCATGAAGACATCCTCACTTGACAATGGGCCCCAAGACATGCACACCCAGAGCCAAGCTGGGCCCCAGAAAGAGGCGCACCGGTCCATCTGCCTCTGTAGGGGACGCCATCGAGACCCTTTTCTCCATTCTCAGGAGGAAGCCAAGGAAGAGCAGACGGCCATGGTGCCTCAGGCCATCCCGCTTCGGCGCTGCAGATACTGCCTGGTGCTGGTGGGTGACTCCAGGCCCTGCACGGGAGGGGTCAAGGGGCAAGGTCGACTCTGCCTGGCTTCCTCCTGCCCTGGCACCACGGCCTCACCCCTGCTCCAGGAAGGCCTCCCAGATTCGGGCCGCGCCCTCCTGCCCCTCACTGCCATCAGGGGAGCCGGTGTGAGCCCGACCCCTCTGTGCCCACAGCAGCCCCTGCGGGCCCGGCACTGCCGTGAATGCCGCCGCTGCGTGCGCCGCTATGACCACCACTGCCCCTGGATGGAGAACTGCGTGGGGGAGCGCAACCACCCGCTCTTCCTGGCCTACCTGGCGCTGCAGCTGGTGGTGCTCCTGTGGGGCCTGTACCTGGCATGGTGGGTCCCACCCCCTCTGGGGGGGCGGCGGGCTGGCTGCCGGCACCCATAGGCGGGGCGAGCCGGGGCCCCTCCCTCCCTGAGGCCCCGCCCTGGCCGGGTTCCCACCCCGTCTATCCTGTAGGTCTGGCCTCCGGTTCTTCCGGCCCTGGGGGCTGTGGCTGCGGTCTGTCGGGCTCCTGTTCGCCACCTTCCTGCTGCTGTTGCTCTTCTCGCTGGTGGCCGGCCTGCTCCTGGCCTCGCACCTCTACCTGGTGGCCAGCAACACCACCACCTGGGAGTTCATCTCCTCACACCGCATTGCCTACCTCCACCAGCGCTCCAGCAACCCCTTTGACCGTGGCCTGATCCGAAACCTCGCCCACTTCTGTGGGTGGCCCTCGGGGTCCTGGGAGACCCTCTGGGCCGAGGAGGAGGAGGAGGGGGGCAGCACACAGGCCGCTTAGGGGTGCTGGAGGCGGCACTGCTCACTGTGCCTGAAAACCAGAGGGCGCACCCCGCCTGGGCTCCCTGCTTCCGGCCGGGCCTCACAGAGCAGCGGGGGCCCCTTCCTCGGTGGGTAGGTCTGCCCTCCACAGAAAGGGGGAGAAGACCTGTGGAGGCCTCGGACACGGGCCACCTGGGCTTCTGAGGCAGCCCCCACTCTCAAGCCAGGCTGCCTCCAGTGCGGTTTTACAAATTTAATAACCCACAAAGCACGACATCAAGTATTAAAAACCCAACTAATCCACTCTGCCTTGCCCCCTTTCTGGTCTGGGTCTCTCTGGGGGCATGTGCACGAGACTGCCCGAGGGCCGAGAAGCCCACCACCAGCGCCCACAGCTGCCTCCACTGGCCCCGGCTCAGAGACACCAGGCAGGGCCTGGGCTCCGGGCAGAGGCTGGGAGGGCCTCGGGTTCCAGGAACCGCTCTGACACAAAGTCGAAGTCCCGGAAGGCGGCCTGTTGGCGGGCCGTGAGGGGGCTGCGGGGCTCGGGCGGCGTCAGGGTGGGCGGCAGCCCCGTGAACTCGCCCTCGAAGTAGCGCAGGTCTGTAGGGCCGCAGACGGTGGGCACGAAGGGCGGCGGGGTGGCGCGGGCCAGCAGGGCCTGCCAGTCCGTGGCCTGGGGGGGAGTGGAGGTGCCTGAGACGACGCGAGGGCGGCCACCCGGTCCCTGTGCACCCCCAGGCCGGGCTGGGGCCCGCTGAGCCCCCGCACTCACCCTGAAGAAGGGCTGCGTCTTGATCTCCTCAGCATCCCGCTCGCCCGCCCCCAGGCGCTTCTCCGGGCACTTCTGGAGGAGCTGGCAGGAGGACAGTGCTCCCTTGGGGTACGTCTGCCTCCCTAGCACCCCCTGGGCAACAGCAGGGGCCCACGAGCCACATCAGCTCTCCAGCCCAGCCCTGGCCGCGGCAGCAGGTACCTTCTGAATCAGCTCGAGCCCTTGCAGCGACAGAAAGTGGGGGTACTGTGCGTCTGCGTTGACGATGCAGTCAAACACCTCCTCCTCCGTGTCCCCTGGGAACGGGCACTGTGGGAGGGAGCCTCAGCCGGGCCCAGGCCACCCACCCTGACAGCGAGGCCTGACAGCTCCCATCCAGCACTCACCTCGCCTACCAGCATCTCATAGAGCAGCACGCCCAGTCCCCACCAGTCCACTGCCCTCGTGTAGGCCTCCTGGGTCAGCACCTCGGGGGCCAGGAACTCCGGGGTGCCGCAGAAGGTGCTTGTCCGGTCCCCAAAGCCAATGCCTGCAAACCAACACCCTCACCCACGCTGGCTCAGTGTCTGACCCACAGTGACCTCGGTGGTGGGGAGTATCACTGGCCAATCCTCCTAACCCCTTGGGTGGAAGCCCGTGCCCAGCCCTGCCCAGCCCCTCACTGCTGGGAAGGACGTCTGTGCCATCTGACTGTAGAGGGAGCCGCGTCCCAGCCAGGCTCACATGCCAAGGTCACACAGAAAGCAGCCGGAGCGGAGCGCAGGCTCACCCTCTGGTCAAGGGCAAACTGGGGCTCTTTAGTAAGTGTTTCTAGGGCGGGAAGGAATAGTCTGGGGTGTCCCCTGGGGTGCAGGCTGAGGCAGGAATACCCCCTAGAAGATGCCACTTGCCCAGCGGTGTAGCCTGCTTGAGGAAGGCCAGATGCCAGCTCCTGGAAAAGGCACCTACCTTCCTTGCAAAGCCCAAAGTCTGCAATCTTCAGGAAGCCCTGGGCATCCAGCAGGAGATTATCCAGTTTAAGGTCCCTGGGGGCAGGGGGAACCCCCCACAGGCTGAGAAGGGCTGAGGCCCGAGAGACAGCAGGCTCTGCCCCGCACGGCCCCTCACCCACTCCCCCAGCACCTCCAGGTGAGTTACCTATAAATGATCTTCTTCTCGTGTAAGAACTGCAGCCCCAACACCACACAGGACAGGTAGAACCTGGAGGGGTGCATGAGGGGGTTCAGGACTGGGACGCCAGGGACAGGGCAGGAAACAAGGGTGGCCATGGCCTGGGGAGCCAAGATCCTAGCCAGAGCCAGATGTGGGCCAGAGACTGGGATGAGCCTCCTGTCAGGGTAGGGAAAAGCCCCTCCAGCCCCAAGGTCACCCAAGGTTACCTCCCACCCTCACTAGACTCTTGGGTTGTGCCCCAGATGATAGCCAGTGTGCTCACCCCTCATTCTCCTAGCAGCCTGCTGTTGACACGCATCATGCCTAGTTTTCAAGTGAGGATTTGACCGTGTCAGGGTCACACCACTAGTGGCCCAGCTGACATGTGGCCCCAGCGCTCATATTCTAGAAACAGTAATGCCGGCCCCTGCCCGGCACTCTATAGACGTTTTGCTCATCTATGCCACAAGTCTACGAAATGGATAGTATTAGCCCAAATTACGGCTCCATGAACAGGCCCAAGATGGCAGACCCCGTGAGCACCAGTGACCAGGATTTGACGCAGGCCCCTGACTCCACACCTCCTGCCGGGCCTGTGGGTGAGGGCAGCGGGCTGGGAACCCACCGGGCCTGGGGCTCCGGGAACACATCCTCATGGATATGCATCATGAGGTCCCCGCCGGGCGCAAACTCGGTCACGAAGCAGGCGTGGCTGGAGGTCTGGAAACAGGCCAGGAGGGAGAGCAGGAAGGGGTGCCCCGTGCAGCCCACAGCTTCCAGGATCCGCTTCTCACAGTACAGGCTGCAGGGGAGGGCGAGGGCTTTAGAGGGACCCACAAAGCACCCCGGCTCACTGGCCCTGCAAGCCACGTGCCAGGCAGGGAGAGCGATGGTTTTAAGTGTCCGGGGCTCATGGGTCAGTGAACCTGACGGTGACCCTCATCCCCATTTTACACGTGAGGAAACACGAGCAAAGTTACCTGCCAAGGACAAACAGTCACTGCAGGGCTAGAGAAAGAACCCAGGGCTGGCTGGCCCCACGGTAACTTCTTCAGAGCCCCGGGAGTGTAAGGGGCCTTCCGTCACCCACAGCCCAGGCGGCTTCGTGCCCGGAGCCTCCGTGGACCCCACACGCACCTCTCAACCTCCTCCCGGCTCAGCAGCTCCTGCTTCTTCAGTGCTTTGACGGCATAGTACCTCCCGGTGCCCTTGAACTGGACCAGGAGGACCTGGGGACAGAGAGGCTGGGCTGCAGGTGACAGACTCCGGGAGCCCGTATGTCCCCACCCCCTAGCCCACAGGCCCGTGTCCTCCTGGGCACGGAGTGGGGCCTGCCCAACCCCCCCCATGCCAGCAGCCCCTACCTTCCCAAAGTGTCCCCGACCCAGCACTGCCAGGCAGTGGAAGTCCTGGAGTCGAGGGGGCTTCCTGTGAGAGAGAGAGGGCGAAGCAAGCACCCGCTCAGGGCTGGGCCCCCACCAGGAGCCACTCCGAGCCCCCAGGCCCAGTCCTGCTGGAGAGCCTGGGCCTGGGACACGCTGGAGCTCGGGAACTTGCACACGCAAGCAAAGCCCTACGCGCCGCCAGAGCGCCGGCGGGCACTGGGTGGGCGGGCGGACACCGGGCCCGGGGAAAGGGCCTGCAAGGCCAGGGTGAGGGTGGCCGGTACCTGGTGGCTGGGGCTGGTGGAGACGGCCCCAGTCGAGTCCTTGGCTCCATGTGGGGGCGTTTGGTGCGCTGTGAGGGCGGGCAGACGGGCTCAGGGCAGAGCGGGACTCCCTCCCCTCTCTCCCCGCAGCCCTGCCACCCCGCACGGCCACCCGGGAGGCCCCCGCACCGGTGTCTCCTCAGGGGCTGGCTCCGGAGGCAGGTACAGCCGCGGAGGCTTGGGTGGGGGTCTCGCCCCTTCTCCCAGGAGGGTCTTCTTGGGCTGGAGGTTGCTGTGCAGAGGAAAGGACACAAGGTCGAACACAGGCAGATGGAATAGGTGGGGGGCAGACACACAGCCACGGGAGACAGTTCAGAGAGGGCAGCAGAGATGGGGGACACCCAGGCAAGCACCACACAAGCCAGGGGGCTCCTACCTGGGAGAGGCAGGGTCGGCGGCGCCCCGGCGTGTGGCTGGCGTCTGGGGGCAGGCTTTGGGGGGGCTGATGGTGTTAGGGGAGCTGCAAGGGGGTAGCAGGCTCATGACCAGACGCCCCCAGGCTGCCATGCTGAGGTTCATCTGGGAAGCCCTCAGGAAGTCCTGACCTGGGGTCAAAGAGGGGCTCAGTGCAGGGGCCCCAGGTGCCCCCGCCCTGCGCCCGACCCGCAGCCCTCGCCCCTACACACCTCTGCGCTTAGAGAACATGCGTTTTTGCCTCTGTAGCCGAGGCCTTCTCTCAATGACGGGGTCACAGAAGGTCACCTGTGGGGGCAAGGGCAGGGCTTGGAGACCATTCCCATCCCACCCCCTCTGCCGCGAGACCTTGCAGGCCCCCAGAATCCTGGCCTAAGCCCAAGTGTCAATGGATACAAGAGCCAGAAGGGCCCAGGGAAATGGATTCAGTGTCCATGTTGGCACCATGGGGGAAACAGGCCCAGAGGAGAGCTCTGGGCCCAGGGTCGCCAGTCTGGGTCACAGAGAGGCTGGCAATACTTCATTCTTGGGGATCCTCCCCCCAGGCCTCAGTTTCCACCCCTCTGCATGATGGGGGCGGCACTGGGGGGACGTCACAGCTTCAGAGGCCCGCCCGAGCTCAGTGGGACTCAAAGGCAAGGCCAGCAGGCACCTGGGCGAAGAGCAGCCCCTGCGGCACCAGGCTGAGCGAGAGCTGGTGACAGGCATTGTCCAGGAAGTCCTCCAGCCGCAGGAAGGCCACGCCGCACAGCTGCCGCCAGTCCCGCCAATGCACCCCAATCTCCAGCTCTCGGGCCTGCGCCAGGAGGCGGGGTGAGGGGCAGGCCAAGGCACCAGCCCCTGCCCCGGGAGCCTCCACCCGGGGGCTCAGTCACCCCTGACCACACCAGGGCCAGCCTCACCCGCTCCAGAGGGACAACAAAGTTCTGGTCCCAGGACTGTTTGGCCACGGGTCCCCAACCTGTCTGGCCCACAACACGATTGTCCACCTTCAGCACGGCCAGCACCTCACCTGCAGGGCCAGAGCGGGGCTCAGGGCAGGCCAGGAATACAGCCCCACCCCCCCAGGCCCCGGCCACCTCCGACTCACAGGCGAGCTCGCCTCGGCCGCGCTGCTGCTTGGCCCTGCCCCGAAGCCAGCCCTGGCCGGGGCTCCCAGCCAGCGCGGCCACGGGGGACCGTCCAGGCACGGCCGTCAGCAGCCGCTCACAGCCGAGGAGGTGGACCTGCAGTGTCCCTGCAGGGAAGGCAGGGAAGGGCGGGTCAGGTGTCATCTTCCCACTGCCACCACCTGTCCTCCTGCGCCCCCCAGGGAGCCGCCACTGGCCCTGCTAGGCCTCGGTGGCCCCCCGGACACACCCACTGGCCTTCGACTGCAGGCAAGGGGCAGCAAGGGGATCTCAGCCAGGCCGCCCGGTGCCACAGAACATGACCCGCTGCTCAGGCTTGGGCGCAGGAGGCCAGGCTGCCCACCCTGTCCCGCCGCTCCCGGCCTCCGACTCCGCAGCTCTGCTCTGGGGATTCACTTTTAGAGTCACTCTAGTTTCGAAGGACAGTGGAAGCTGCAGGACCAGCCACTCTAGAGGACAAGCTGGCCCTACGAGCACCAGCTAGGCAGTCCAGGCCCTGGGTTACGCTCCGAGAGAGCGGATAAACGAGGGCAATGCCCAGCGTGGGAAGAAAATCTTAGGAAGACCAACTGGGTGTCCCTTAAGGAACCAGGATGTTTCGCTGGAAAGCAGAATGTGAGGTGGCCCCAAGTCGCCGATTTCTAGGCACTTTAGCAAGTCTCCCTCCTGCCTTCCCCATCTGTCTACCTGGCCAGCTCCCAGAGAGCCCAGAGCTCAGGCCCCCTGGCGGCCCCAAAGGGTAAAGCGCAGCACCCCGAAGCTGGCGGCAGCCACCTCAGCACCACCCAGCCAGGGAGCGACCCACAAGGCGCAGCAGACCCCTCCTGTCTCCCCGCTGCTCCCCTCAGCAGTGTACTTCGTCCATCTGCCTGCTCTGCTCCCCACTCTGTCTCTGGTGAACCCTCTCACCCCCTGCCCTTCTGGCCTGTACCCCAGTTCTGTATACACACATAAATAAATCTTTTTAAAAAACGCAAGAACTTCTAAAAGACCAAGCAGCCCAGACTGGCACCAAGTCCCGGGCTCCCAGCACTGGTCTGCGGGCGAGACCATGGTTACTCTTTAAACAGCACCATCGGTGCCAGCGCGGTGCCTGCAAGTGCCACCGAATTTCACGGAAGCCCTCGGAACTAGCTGCCACCATCACCCCACTTAAAGATGGATAAACTGAGGTTCAGAGATGTCAGCTGCCCCAGGTTACAAGCCAGCAGGTAGTGGACCAGGACTGGCACTCGGCTACCTGTCATGGCCGTGGGCTTCACCAGCGCCCCTGAAGGCTGGGGGTTCCCAGACGCAGCAGTCCGAAGTTCCTGGGCCACTCTGCCTCGCAGGGGGTGGGCAGGGGGGAGTCCCTCCAGCAGCTGCTCCAAGCCCAGCCGCAGGAGGTCCAGCTTCTGGGAGGACTCCTGGAGCTGGGCCTGGGCCTGCAGAGGGCACAGGGCCAGGTGGGCGGCAGCTCCAGCTAGCTGGGGGCCCCCGGAGTGAGGCGCAGCAACGTGTGCCGCCCGCTCCCTCCCTGCCACCCACATGGCCAGGCCATGTCCCCACCCGCTGCAGAGGGTGGCGTGGGAGCCAGGGCCTGACCTCGGCCAGCGCCTTCCGGTCCTGCGTGCGGCGGCCACCCAGCAGCTTCACCACGTTCTTGGCCCCCTCGGCCACGGCAGCCTCGATGTGCAGTCGGTGCCGCAGCCCCTCCACCAGCAGCTCCGGGCCTGCGACCGGCGAGTCAGCCCCAGACTGGGGTCTGCTCCGGGCCCAGCCCTCCCCCCCCACGGCCTCACCTGGTTCCGGGGACCCGCTGGCCTCCAGGCGGCTGATCTTCATGCGCAGCAGGGCCACCTTCAGCTGACTGTCCCGCAGCATCTGCTGGGCAGCTGCCAGGAGCTTCCTCTCCTGTGGGTGGCGCCCAGCCCCGTCAGGCCAGGTCAGGCCGGCCTCCCCGTCAGCCCCAGGCTGAAACCAAACCTCCCTCGGCGGGGCAGACGCTAGAGCCCAGCTGCCCGGTCACACCCGCGAAGGCAGAGGTCCGGCCTCACCAGCAGATCGAAGCTGAGGCCGAGCCCCTCGCCAGGTCAGGGCTGGTGCCCCCCACTGTGCGGGGAGGGCTGGAACTAGGGCTGGACCTTCCCTATGGGGCTGAGGACTCGGCCCCCCACTCGGTGGATGCTGCACCCCGGCTGCTGGGCTAGGGCCGGAGCCACACCTGGGCCGGGGTTGGCCCTGGGGCTGGGCCTTGCCCAGCAGGGCTGGGGGGGGGGGGGGCAGTGCCCAGCAGGGTGGGGCTGGGTGGCACCTCCCCTCATCATCCACGAGCCCATCTCTGCCCACTGGCTCCCAGGGCCCTTACCTTGGGGCCGCCACTGGCATACGTGTGGGTCATGTTCTCAGCCCCCTGCTTCACCTTCAGCTCCACCTGCAGCTGCCTCTGCAGCACCTCCAGCTGCCGGGCCCCGGGCTGCTCTGCGGACGGCGGGGCTCCTGAGGCCACGGGCCCTGCGGACACGCAGGGTGGCACAGCTGCCCCTCACCCGAGCAGAGTGCCCCCCATGGCCTAGCGCGCCGGTCCCGACCCTCCTGGGCAGCGGCTGACCGAGGGGAGAGGTGGGGCTGGGGAGCTGGGCGCCGGGCCCACCTGTCCCGGGTGGCGCGGAGTCCCCCTGGCCCCTGGGCGCGGGCGCGGGCAGCAGGACGCGGGCGTGCAGCTCCTGCAGCTCGCCGTGCAGCTGCTCCAGCCGGCGGTTGGAGCAGCGCAGCAGCTGCTGCACGCGGCCCAGGTGGCGGCGGTCGGTGGCCGCGCGCTGCAGGTTCTCCACACCCTCCTTGATCTTCAGCTCCTTCTGGATGGCGCGGCGGATTGCCTCCCGCTCATCCTCTGGGGGCCGCTGGTCAGGCCCAGGCTGGGACGGCAGAGGAGACACACCGCTGTCCGGGGCCACCAGCCTCTTCACCGCAGGCGGTGGGGAGGGGCGTGGGCAGCACCCAGGGCTGACCAGAGAGCAGGTGTCTCCGCCAGACGGAGGCCCCGGGCAGTTCTCGGGACCCGGGGTTCCGAGGGCATTTTGCTCCTGTTAGGGCAGTGCGGCCGGGGCCGGGGCCTCGCAGACACCCCACGAGGCGGACAGGTTGGCCACCCCACTTCACACGTGAGGAGATGGAGGCGGGAGGTTGAGTGACCTCCCCACACAGGCAGGGGGCGGCGGGCTGTCTCTGGGCCCAGCCTCTCCTCCTGCCAGGCTCCTTGTGGCTGCTCTACGTCAGGGATCCAGGTTAAGATCGGGGCAGAAGTTCAGGCTGAAAAAGGATCCCAAGGTCCCAGAGTTGGGGCAGCCAGAGCTGCAGGAAGCAGGGCCTTTGAGCACAAAGCAGAGGCCCAGAGGCGCTGGGGGTGGGGCGCTCCGTCTGGCTCCTGGGAGAAAGCAGAAGGCTCTTGCCTCTTTATTCCAGGTTGGAGCAAGGAAAAGAGAAAACCTTCCCAGAGGCGAACATGTCAAGCCAACCGATGCCAAAGCTGACCTCGGCTCTGGGTCGCCCACGATGCCCCCATCCATGTGGGGACCCTTACAGGGCCTCGGCCTTACTCTCCGCTCTGCACCGCTGAGCCCAATGGCAGGGTGGCCACTCCAGCCTGGGACCTCAGCTGGGCTGGCTGGCCCAGAGGGCAGGGGCGGGGCTCAGGAAATCCTCTGACGGCCCTAGGCGTGAGGGCTACAGCCAAGGCCTGAGCAAACAAAGATCCCTTGGAGCTGGGGGCCTGGCCACCGGGGTCCTGAGTCACCCAGCTGCCTCTACAGGGCGGAGGTTCACAGGAAGTTGGAAAAAGTGTACAAGCCACCGCTGCAAGAGGTGGAGGGCCCTGGCAGGAAGGGGGCAGCCCCGCGGGGGGCCTCTGCGGCAGTGGGGACACTCAAGGTGTCAGGTCTGGGACCCGCGCACCAGCACACCCTTAGCCTCTCCTGCCCAGAACACCGGCTGCTCCCTTTCTGTTCTGCTGCTGGGACCCCAAGTCCTGCACAAAAGCCCAGCCCGGCTGTCTAGGCTGGAGGACGGCCTCTCCCTCCCCAGTGACCAGCGCACCAGCCTCGCCCCTGTGCCCACGAGGCACCCGTGCCAGATCTGGCAGGAACCCTGCCGCGCAGCCTGTGTGGCGAGACCCCCCTGGCGGTCCGAAGGCTCCCGCCGGCCAGGCCCTCCC